GCCCGGCCCGGCCCAGGCCAGGCCGGAGCTGGGCGCCTCCCTGCCCCCTCAGGGCCCCTGGCCGCCCTGCCTGGGCTGGAATGGCTTTTCTCATGCTTCGGTGCAGCAGGGACTTCGCAGTGTTTCCGTGCTGCTGGGTTTGCCAGTTAAAATGCTGGAATGTTGATGGTGGCTTGTTTTCTTTTTAACGCTCTGCTGGTGTTCATCCTTCTTCTTAGTCTAACGCTTGAAGTTGTCTTGCTTCAAATACCAGTTTGAGAAAAAAAAAAAAAATTAAACTCGCTGTAAATTCCTGCAGATTGTATCATCCCAGTGGAAGAGTGGGGTTTAGTGGCGGAAACAGGATGTGTCTCTGAAAGTACTTCCACTTAAAAAAAAATGAGATTTAATAACAGCTTCACAGCAAAGTGATTTTTTTTCTAGCAGCAGGATTATTTTCTCACTTTCACCTCCTTGTGGTTAATGCTAGCTGTCCGATGCTCTGGGTGCTCGTTTCTCATGCATGTTTAAAGTTACCTTTATTTAGAATGCTCTTAAATTTTATTGGACACTGTGCATGTAAGCTATGAACAGTTCTTTGAAAAAACGTATTGATAGTTGGGGTGTTTGGTGATATCAGAGATTGTATATAGTCATAATTAAAGTATGTGTAACTACAAGGATTTGGGGGGTTTTATGTGTAACGTGCACTATTTGTGGAAGTAAGCTAGCGGTTTTAATACTACCTATAGGATACACAGGCTCGTGCCTGCTTGTGCTGTCAATTTGCCCATGAGTGGCATCATTGTTCTCTGGTCAAAGCTGCATAAGATGACCTGAACTTGTGTTCTGGGCTGTGACCTTGACTGAATGCTATGTCTATAAAGCTAATTAATTCTTCAAAGGATAGCTTAAAATGTCTCTAAAACTTTTTCCACCATGTATGTTATGTTATTTACTAATTTGGCTTTATACTTAGCTGACATTTATGGAAATTTGGAGCATCTTTTTGAACACCTATTTGGAGGGTAGAGTACTCGTGCAGTGTTATGTCTCAAAACTAAAGTTAGTTGCCAGAGCAGCTCAAACCTGAGTACATAAAGGGTCTTGATGTAATTTATATGTATGAAAAGTGGTATGTCCTGTTTTCCGGTAAGTTGGGAGAGGGAAGCCTCTGATGGAGGTGGGAGACAAATATAGATAGAACAGAGTTAAACTGTGTATTCAAAAAGGTTCTGGCTCTTACTACAGTACTCTAGTGATAACACCATTTCTATTACAGGCTGTAGTATAATTGAGAGTAAGTAGTAAGGGTACCTTGTTGTCTGAAAACCACCTAACAAAATAGTAAAGCATATTTTCTCATGCACTTGCAGGAACACAGCGTATTAAACTGTCTAAGTAACCATGCTGGTCGCAAGGCTAGTATGCCTGCGGGCATTATCATGCCAGGCTATCCGCCCCACCATTACTCAGGCTTCCCCAGCTGTGAGGAACTCCAATATAAAAGCATACATGCTGTGGCAGCCTAATCAGGTAAGATAATTCTCTTTCTAATGGTTCTGAGTGCTGATATTTTTTAAGGGTTGAGTGTTTTTGCCAAAAGAATCGCTTTGCATGGAGTATCTGTTTTGAATTATCGCAAGCCTTCTGCTTGTTTGAGGTACCTGCTCTAATTTACTGAAGGGAGAGTGTTACTCAATCAAAAAAACAGGGTTTTTTAAGAGCAATTAAAATAATATCTTCTGTTCCAATGACTATTTCCTCATTGAAATTACTGGAAAAAAAGAACTTAAAGGAGGGAGCTGGTGATGGATAAGCCTTTCTATGTAAGGTGGGAGGAGCAGAAATTCTTGTCTGACCTCCTCCTAGCTCCCTGTTTCTGAGTACGAGTCTTAAATATAATATTAAGCTAAAAATTTTCTTTTCAAAGGCTTTAGTCCCAATATGTGTTTAGAGCTGTAGCCCAGGTTATCATGGGTCTTACTAGCAAGCGTAAAAACTGGACTGTCATTATTCTAAGACACTGTTTATTCTTCATTGAGAGAAGATGTTTCATTTTTGCTTTCTGCCCAGGTAACTCACAACTGTTAGGAGGCATTGCTCTTTTGTCATCATCTTGGTGAAAGTGCCAATGGCAAATTCTTCACCTCCTTTGTGTTTTCCTCTTAAGCATAGAAAACTGTTTTAAGCATCCTAACTTTCTAGTTGTGTTGGGGTTTTTTTGTGTGTGTGTGTGTTTTCTTGTTTTGTGTGGTTTGTTGGGGTTTTTTTTGTGGTGGTTTTATATCTGTGAGGAGACATACATAATTACAGTGTTGGGCCTAGATTTTGTTAGATGCAAAACACAACAAAACTGAAGCACTATGGTAAGCTTCCTGAATTTTATTGCTCTAATGGCTGATTATAGCAGTGCTTGTAGATTTCAGCTTTCAGTGTTAAACAAACAGCTTTGAGTGAGCCCTTGGTTGCTCAGGTGCCTGTATAATAATTTAGAAATTCCTGGAAAAAATGGTAAGGAAACTTTAAAAGTTGTTTCTGAACTTGTATACAAGTTTATTCTGTGTTGCTCTTGCAGCTTACTAAGACTTTGAGCAGCATGCTATATTTATTTGGAGCTTGACAGCCTTAAAAATCTTAAGTTTATAGGCCTTCATTCAAGGTTTGTTCTCTAAATTAAGGCTAGAGTTGAAAGCAAAGAACTTGTGCTGCTTTTCCAAATTTAGTGTCTGTAAAGTATAAGTATTGTGCAAGAATATTTTTTTACATAGAAGTGTTTACGTAAAGAGTATTTTTACATAGAAAGCGAAATAATTTTTTTACAAAATAAAAAAGTAAAGAGTGTGGTTTTACATTTAAAAACAAAAAGTCTTATGGCTTTGTTTAGTACAGTGGGACTAGAGTAGAAGAAATGCAAACTGAAAACTTCAGCTTCTGAAATTCACTGAATTGGTTCTATACTTCTAGAACATGTGGATGTTGCTCACAAAGCTTTCTAAACTTTAATGTTCAGTTGTTTTCCTTAAGCACAGCTGCTTCATGTGTTTGGGAGGTAAGCACAGATAAATAAGAGACTATGTAGCAATTTTATGCGTAGCAAGTAAATTGTTGAGAAATGTCTTCTATTTTATTTCATTGAATCTTTACGTTATTTCTGAATCTAACAGTGTTATGCCACCAGAGTAAGAACGGGTGTAAGGCGTGGAAAAATTGGCCAAGAAATTAAAGAAGCCGCATTTGAGCCATCTGCAGAAACGGCACTTAAAGGTAGAGTAGCTCTGCTTTAAATAGTGAGAATCTTTGAAGTTTGACTTAAGACTTCCTTGAATTAATTGGTTTCCTTCAAACCATTAAAGAGACCGAGAATGTTGTTTCATGTGTAAGTTTGCTTAGTGATCTCCCTCAAACAACTGGAGACAGTTTCTGTGCTTGTCTTTCCTTGTAAAGTTTAAAGCTGCAAATATGTTACAGTATAGAGAAATCTCTCGTTGTCTCTACTTCAAGCTGCTGTTTAGAACTATTGAGTCAAAAATGGTTGTCTCTTAATGGAGACTTGATTGTAGATATTAAAAAATATACTAACACTTGCATTGCTATATCTACTTTGCTTACTGTTTAAAGGAAGGATTTTTCTACAGCATGTACAGTTTGCAAAAATAAGTTTCTGGTGGTATGGTTAGGTAAGGCATTCGCTTACTGTGCCTGCTAGTACATCTAGTGTGGCTCGTAATTTCAGTGGATTACAAAGGGATTTTTTAGATAGCAGTGTTCAGTAGAACAGACTTGTAAATGTGCTATAATAGCATTGAATTGACAGATGGAATATATGTAGATTGGCTAGATAGTGTCTTGGCTATAACACGTTAGGAAAAAGCATAGCCTTGAAGAGACTTATACAACTGAAGGTATTTGATCTCAGCTGCTCTTACTTCAGTTATAACAATATTTTATGATTGATATTTATATTTGTAGCAGTAATCTGATATGTAGCACACAGGCAGTATGTCTAAAAATCAGACACTAGAAACGTAGTAAATCATGTTGTTGCCCATGACCTTTGGAAATGCCTTTTTGAACTGATTTGGATCTAATTGCTACCAAAGAGCTCTTGAAGGAGCAAGCATTAAGGGCAGATGAATGAGACAAAAGGACACAGTGGCTAGTTTTTCTCCTGGTTTATAGCAGGTTGGATGGTGAAATGGTACACTAAACCAGCAGACAGGTAAACTCTTCTGTTGGAGAAACTGTTAACTAGTTTTGTGTTGGAATTACTGTTAGTGTAATGAAGGTCAGTAAACGTGGCATGTTACTAGCTGGTCTCTTATTTCTTAACTCTGTTTTATGAAGCTATATTGTGTTGGTAGGCTGAATCTAGAGTTTTTCACATGTAGCTTATTGAGAACTGGTAACGCAGTGACTTGAAGTTAAGTGGAGCTTTAAGAAAGATGCCTAACATGGATCAGCTAGTGCAAATACAACAACACTAATGTGAGGATGTTATTAACTATCCAAGAAAAAGCATTCATGAGAGTGTGGATTGTTTGTTTTTTTTTTTCTTTATATAGCTGATCGCCTGGGGAAATTTATTGTTGCTGGAGGGGCTGCTGTTGGCCTGGGGGCCCTCTGTTACTATGGAATGGGCATGTCCAGTGAGATTGGAGCTATTGAAAGAGCTGTGTAAGTAAGATAGCTTACTGTTTTAAGTAAAGAGTACATTAAGCGAATATCTCTCCTCTTTATAGCCAACTCTTCTTTAGCGGGTATCACCCATTGTACACACAGTTGTGGGGTTTTTAAGCTTTGAACAGAAAGCTCTTGCCTCAGTGCAGGATGTTAAAGTGTATAACTGAAAGCAAAATTTAAATTACCCAAGCTGAAATGGATATTGACTTAAGTGAGTTCCTTTGTTTTGAAAATTTGAAATTCTTTTGTGAAGAGTATATAAGTCTTACAAGGTGTGGCACAGATAATTTATGAAGCGTAGTCTTCTGTAAAACGTATTGTTAAGGATACTTTGCCTGGTGTTCCTGTGAGGCTGTTCATTAAACTTTAACACAGCGTGTTGGAAAGAGTCTGCTTTGAACATGCTACTTATCTGGGCATAAGTCCTGCTCTAATAAATGCTTTGCTTAAAAGTTTGATGTATTGCTTTTTGGCCAACAAAAACCTGGCTGTGATGGCAGAACCATATAGTTACTTAGACTTAAAAGGGGGTTAGTGATAAGCATGGGTTTGGGAGAAGAAATGAGTGCTGGAGGTGTTTTGCTTTACTTACTCTGCATTTATATTTGGAAATGACGATCCACATTCATATTGGATGCTTGCTAGTTGTATCTATGAGAAGCTTTTCATTAGTACAGCTATCTGTAATTTTTTTTTTCTCCACGAGCCTTGAAGTAATGGGTCAAAATTGTAAAATGGGAGAAAATGTGTGCACTATGTTTAAGTTTGGTGTTAGCTGGGAAAGCTTCCTGTCCGTAGTATGACCAAATCATACTGCAGAAACCCATTCACATCCAGGTCTGTTGCTGTTGTTAGAGCTCTCAAAATGACATTCGTGTCTTGTGATGTCAGATAATCATGTGCACTGTGACTCAGCAATTTGTGAGCTGCTCAGCAGGCTACTGTAGACATTTTTCCTTAAACCAGTTTTAGATATACACCATTCTCTATTTTTTCCATAGTTGAAAAGCATTCATTATTCTGTTTCCATGTATACTTCCTCCTTAGAATTGAACTATAATTAGCATTATTTTAATTTGCAGTGTTTCTACAGAGTTATGTTATGTTAGACCAGCAAGGTCTGAAAGAATTTAGTAGACCTTCATGGCAGAAGTTGCTAGACCATACCATTGTTATGAAACCTCCCTTATATCCATAGCTATGAATATATTTAACAGCTTGATTGTGTTTTTAGTTGGTCTTCATTCTGATACTGGTAATTGCACAGCTGTGTACGACTGCTTATTTTTCAGTATTTGGCCACAATATGTGAAAGACAGAATTCACTCTACTTACATGTACTTTGCGGGAAGCATTGGCTTGACGGCACTGTCTGCTGTAGCAGTAAGCAGATCTCCGGCACTCATGAGCCTTATGACAAGAGGCTCCTGGCTGGTAAGCTTCTGTTAAAAAAATAAAAACATTTACTGAGAAGACCCCAGATGAAATGGTTGATATAAAAATGTGAAATGTAGACTACTTGGTGAAAAGTAAGGCAAAACTTCACTTACACTAGTGTCCTTATCCATACAGACTACGTAAGTATCCTGATGATGTTTTGTGATTTAAGATTTGGTGATTCTAATTACATGCTGACATGTATGTTCTATACTTCTTTGGTAGTTTGTCAAAGATAAACTACATGAGCAAAAAAATGCTATGCTATCCTTAGCAGCTATATGCAAGTAAGAAACTGATACAAATAGCCATCTGAGGCTAATGACACTAATGCTTTCTAAAAATGGAAATTGAGGTCCCCATGTGTTCTTACTCCTCCCTGTGCTCTTCTGTATAGCTCTTTGAGAGCGGTTTCCTGTTTGCCAAGGCTGAAATGATACTGGTAGGCAAAACATCCAGGCAAACTGCTAACAAAAGGTGTCTGCTTAGTACATATTCAGTATGTTAAGTGGAGTGGAATGATAATAGTTAAATGCCAACACCTACATAATTTTAGGGAGATTAATTTAATAATGCATCCTTGGTGATAAACCAGAGTTGTACATTTCTGACCAGTTTGCTAGCTGCTGGGTGATTCTGCTTGGAATCATCAGTAAGAAGAGGCAATGAAATTTTTAAAAAACGTTGGTAGCAAAAGCCAGTGAACTGAGTATTGGCTTTGGGTGGAGAAATGTACAGGAAAAAAGTATGGCTGACATTTCAGGTACCTTAGTGAGGATTAGAGTAAGGGGCGGAACCATGTGTTTTCCTTCTCTTGCCTTACACAGCTGAGAGATTGTTGCCATCTTACGCTAAACTTTGATTCCTAGAAGACTGAGTGAAAGTAAAATTATCTCAATTTGCAAGCTAGGATCTGCAAAGATTTGACTGTAACCTTACAAGAGTAAAATTGACAAACACTCCAGTTAGGGATTAGGTTGCTCTTTTCAGAATTACACTGTTGACTTTTAGAGTAGGGGGTTAGAACAGAGACCATATGTCCTAATGCTAACTTGAGCTCTCTAATGCTGTTTTTACAGGCAATAGGTGCAACTTTTGCAGCTATGATTGGTGCTGGCATGTTGGTCAGATCCATATCCTATGAAAATAGTCCAGCAGCTAAACATTTGGCTTGGATGATGCATTCAGGTACGTGGTTTTAGTGTTCATTATAGAGATGTCAGTGCTTCGGTGTGACCAGATTCTTACCTTAACAAAACTTTCACTTTAAGGTAAATTTTTACGTACTCCTATAGGAGAGCTTGTATTTTTCAGAGACCAATGAGAACTCCTGAATGTCAGGAATATTTCTCAAGTATTCTTAACATAACTCATAATATTTCTCATAATCTTCTAAAAGTCATGCTCAAGTTAAACTTGAGATATGTATATGCCACATTGGATAAAACTAATTGGTTTCATAGCTGCTTTGGATTCGTGACTGCTTTCTGCCACTATAACTTGTGTAAGCACTATTGTCTATGCTTAACCCTTCCGCAGCTGTACAGGGTAGGAAAGTATTTGAAAACTTGACTAGAAAAAAATTAGATTTTAGTATTAAACTGCAGCTTCTTGGATACATGTGCCCATCAGGTATGTAAGCTGTGGGTACAGATCGGTTTCTCACTTATACCTACTTCAAATAACAATGGCTATGACTTTTCAAAGCTGTTTTGGCAGAAACAATTTATGGTTCAGGAAAAACATGTAGATGTTAGGCATGGAAGTCGTATTTGCCTCTCAAGAGCTAACATTTCCACCAAGAAGAAATTGTGCTTATTTTAGTGATTGTTATTAAGTTAAACAACCTAATGTGGTATTAATGGGCTAGATAGAGGTTTCATACGAGAGTCTACCAAAAAGTTTAACTTACTTGCCTAACTAGTTATGTAGCAGAAATCCGTCCTGCTTTTCATTGTTGAGTGCTCCTATGGCTATTATGTAGTTGATTAGTCCATGCTAAGTATCTCTTACCAGCTCTATTTTGAACAGATCAATGTGTTGACTTTTGTTAGTCTTCCAAAGACCAGCTCCCTGAAGTACTCTCCAGAGCTAGATAAAGTAGGTCATGGAATTTAAGGTTGCCAATTTATTGTGCTCTGTGCTGGTTTTGGCTGGGATAGAGTTAATTTTCATCATAGCAGCTAGTTGCCAGCTGGGGTTAAACCACTACAGCTCCCTTCTAGATAGGTGCACAGTCAAGTGTATTGGTATTTTGTCACATAAGTAGATCATTTTGAGCCATGTTATTTGACTGGAGGCAAAAAAAAGTTGTTTTGGCAGGTGGTGTTTTTACCAGAACTGTTCCAAATCTTACAGGTGGTGTTTTGTTTTCCTTTGGCTAGGTGTCATGGGTGCAGTGGTGGCTCCTCTAGCCTTCTTGGGTGGTCCTTTGCTGATCAGAGCTGCTTGGTATACCGCTGGAATCGTTGGAGGGCTCTCGACTGTGGCCATGTGTGCTCCAAGTGAAAAATTTCTGAACATGGGAGGACCACTTGGAATAGGCTTAGGCTTTGTTCTCGCCTCTTCAATTGGTAAAATACTGTTTTAATACTGTCAGATAAAGTAGGTTATAAACTTAAGCTGCTAAGATGCAGCTTGCATTTAATTGCAGGCTCGTCTGTCCAGTTAAGATTTGCCTTAAAAAGCCCTTGCAACTCAAGCACAGCAGAAAATACTCTTAAACTTGTTCTTGAAAACAAACATGAATTTACAGTTCTGGCAAGTGTTAATTGGACAAATGGCCAATAGTGGTGGCTTGTATTTTTAGTTAGTGACTAGGGAAGACAATAAACATTTTAGTTCTCGATCCAGTTGTTCTTCTCCCTTACATGTTTCTAGGCATTGTTATAGTCCTAGGGACAGAAGTACTTTCACATGAGAAAAGTACACATGATTCCCTAGAGTGTTCAAAACTACTGGATCAGATTGTATATGTGACATCTTCAGCTCGTGTATTAAAGCTCTTGGTATCAAAAATGTACCACAAGCTGAGAATTGAATACTCACTGAAAAACATGTGCTACAGTAATTGAAATTTGACCCAACTCAGAGTAGGAGATGCACATAGTAGCTTTCTTTAACACTATTGTACATTCCTCTCCAGGATCCATGTTCTTGCCTCCTACTTCTGCTTTTGGTGCTGGCTTATATTCAGTAGCCGTTTACGGTGGATTGGTACTCTTCGGCATGTTCCTTCTCTATGATACGCAGCATGTTATCAAGCGTGCAGAAACTATTCCATATTATGGAGTAACAAAATATGATCCAATCAATGCGTAAGTATTCTGTGTTAGCACAGCTGATCTCAGTGCCTGTGTAATAATTTACTTCATGCTATATTGAATTATGCTTTAAAAACAGCCAGACCTTTGGTTTACTGTTCAAAAGTGTATTGCTGTTAAATGTGAAGAATCACAGGGTTTAAAAATACAATGTGAAAATAGCTAGTGGAGCTAAAACTGAAAGTATCTGCCTGAAATGAGAGAAACAGGATTGTACGTGTGGTGTCACATGCTTCCAGCAGTACTTTCTAAAAAGTATTTTTGTTTTCTAAAGCATTGCTGGGAGAATTTATAGCTGCTTTCTGAAAATACCTGTCAATATCAACTGAGACAAAAAATGTTAACTCTTTCATAGTCACTTAATATTCACTAGTCTTTATCACTAAATAAAAAAGCTTCAACAGTGTGATAGATAGGGAAAGAAGGATTAATTAACTCTCAGTAAAGACCAAGTCTGATTAACAAGTAACTTGCTTGTAAATGTTGTCTGTGATCTTAAGTGAATTGTTTACCTTCTTGATTCTGGTTTCTTACAGTTAAAATAGAATAATACTGACCACCTCTAAAATTCTTGGAGATAAACAGATAAAAGTACAGCGTAAAAGCAGAGGGCTACTGTATGAGAACAGCATACTGTCTGTTATGACTTCGGTAAATAGTTCCTGCTGGCAGAGATGGTGTCACAAAAATACAGGGGTTTTTTGACATACCAAGCACTGAGGACAGTCATAGTTGGGTTTTGTTACAAGTGCTTCATGTAGGCTTTTAAAAATGAAGTATAATAGTGTGAAATGCCAAATAATACTCTTTCTGTTCAACAGTACTAACTTTGATTTCCTGTTTTCTAGGTGTATGGGAATCTACACAGATACACTGAACATCTTCATTCGGGTGGCCACTATGCTGGCCAGTGGTGGAGGTGGCAGGAGAAAGTAAACCTAGACTCCTGTTTGCAGCTGTCTGACAGTCTAACTAGTGCACATTTGAAGTAAAAATTCATGATTACAAGAAGTTTTGCTGCAAGTCAGAAGTTTAAAGGATATCAGCATATTGTTTCAGTGCAATGTGATTCAGATGTCATAGTTTTTCTTCAAACGCTTTCCAGCTCTGTGTTTAAAATAGCGTGAACTGCTTCTGATTGTATATTATTTGAGGAAAGTAAATTATTTTTAATATATGGGTAAAATAGTCTATCTGCCTTTGAATGGGTCTGACAGCATTTCAGCTCTTTCTTTTTTTACTGTTACTTCATAGTAAAGGAAGTAATTTCTAAACTGGTATCCCACATGCAGATAGGGACAAATTCATGAAATGCTGTTGAGATGCATCAGTTTTCAGTTAAGGTTGCATAAACGATATTTTAGTGACACTTTAAGAAGAACTGAACAAATCAGATGTGACACTAAATGCAGTAATGACTTCTACCTGGGCAGAAATTTCAGAAAGATTTAAGCAATTGTCAGAAATGCATTGGATTTGACAAGTGAGGTGACCAAAAAGTATAAAGGGGACAAGATGAGGAAACTATGCAGCATTTGTCCCATATGAACTTCAGTCTTTCTGGAGTGCACATGAAAATTCCTTGCTTCAATGTTGACTGGATGTAATAGCTAGGTTCTTTCAATACTAGGTTTATCAAACTGTTGAATAGCTATAGACATGTCTGTCTTCCAGTGACTAAGTTTCAGTATTGCAGATGAAGCCCTGCTCTTCAGAAGAGCTCCTAGTGCTCACCTCTTAGAAGCTTGTACAGTTGGCACAGAAAGAAGGAATTGAGGATGGCCTGCTGTAAACCTAAGTATCATAAATTTACCATACTGTTCTATGCTTTACTCTGTTTCTAACTGTTCTCCAAATTGGTATGTTTTAGCTTGGTCTAAAAGAAATGTTCACTATCAGTGAAATTGATTTAAGGTTAAGAAATTTGTACTTGCCAAACTCTATTGTTATATGTTGGAATAAAAGGTGAGTTCTTGGGCACAAGGAAGTTTTGAGCTAATGTCAACAACTCAAACTTTCAATTTCTGGTAAATATGCTATGTTTATGTATTGACTTATGGAACAATAAAATTCTAGCCTCACAATTTGACTACTCTCATTTTCCCTGAGTTAACAGAAATATTTTAGTACCCCTGCACTAATAACTTGATGAAGAGTACTACAAATATTTTTTTGGCTACAGTTTCCTTTGTAAGAGAGTGTGTATTCCTCCGTAAAAAAAAACCTGCAAAGATACTAGCCAGTGAAACTGGAAATAATCTTTTTGGGGATGTTTCCCAGATGGAAGATCCTTGTCTACACTTGCTTCAAGTGGTTCTGTTAGTGTAACATGTTGGCTACTGACTACAGCCAGTGCTGCTTTTATGTCTGTCATGCTGTGGTATTTTTAGCCTCTTCAATCATAGGGAAGAAACTGGATTGTGAAGAGCCTTGTTGCAACTCCTTTGTGCCTAATGATTATACAGCACAGTCAGTTCCTGGCACTATTACAGCTGAAGGAAGATCTAGTACGTAGATGGAAGATGTCTCTGGGTCATGTCAAGTGTAAGTAGCCTGTTTAGAGGGTTTTAACTTTCTAAGGAATTTCATATACTTAATCAATTTCTCCATACTGCTGTAGCTGAACACAGCAGTGTGCTTGTCCTCAAATTCTGAAATCTACAGGGAGCTATCTTGCAACAAAATTCTAGTATTTGTGCCTGTAATAAAGGAATTTTGCCCAACTTTTCTTTTTGTCTAGATTCTGAGGACAAAGTTTTAGAGGTTGGCTATGAACCAAGAGAGGCATCCTGGATTGCTTGAAACAGTGAGGTCTAGAACACAACACCCTGCAGGAAGCTTTAATAACCTTTTAAGAAAAAACAGGCAAAATAGTGCCTGAGGAAGCACAAGCATTCATTTGTGCTCAGTCTTCTGAAAAGATGTGGCTTGACTCCTGTGGATGAGATTGTATCAGTAGGAAAATAATCTGTTAGTGCTATCCAGTGTGTGTCTCCAAAAAGAGGAAAACAAGATTAAGAATTGCTTCTTTACCTTTGAAGTCTTAAGTGAAGCATTAAGATTTATCTTAATTAAGATGGCTCTAATTTGGGGAAGGTTGAAAATCTAAAATGCGGTAGTTTGATAGGCATAAGAGCAGGTGCCCCTTTTTTTCAGGGAGAGCATTGTCTGAGAGCTTGTGCTGGCTTACTGTCAGGCTGCTCTTGGCGTGTAAACAGACAACTTAAACTTTCTAGAACTAAAAAAATGTTTAGATTTATCAATAGAACTTATTAAGGTGATGTTACTGTAAGTAATTTATTTTGGGGTTTTATTTCCTCAATTGAAGAGGCCTAATTATAAAACTCGAGAGATTCTTTTAAGTAGGTACTAGGGTCTGTTACATATGTCTTGCTCAGCAGCTTTGAGACCAAATACAGCTGAGGAAGAATTTTGGTTTGTGTCTTCCTAAACACTGAATACTTTCAGAAGGAAATTAGGTGCTTTATATCCTAAATTTCAGATCTGTAAAAGCTGATCAACCCTGTGGTTAGACCCTCTAATTCTTAATGCCCTGTTTCATGCATTTCTGTAAACTAGGAAGGGAAAATGGTTGTTATTGGAGGGTATAAACTCATAGAAGTCCAAAACTAGCTGAGGAGTAAAGCTTTTTTTTTTTTCCTTGATTAAGGAATGTTACTTTAATTTATTTTGCTGACTGTATTTTGCCCTCTCCTTAGGGGCCTCTTGTTCACCATGTTTTTGACAATTGGTTACAAAAGGCTCTTTTTTTCCTCTTTTGATTCATTATTGGGTCAGGTTGAAGAGGGTTATACATAACTCAATTCCCTTACTGACTTTTAGTAAAGACACTTACTACAGAATTTTGCTGGGTATTTTTAAATAACTACTTTTAAAGGAAGGAAGTGAGAGAAATCAGTCACAAAATCAAGATCAGATTTTTCATGGTTTCTTCTTTCAAGTAAATAAACTTGTAGTTAAGGAAAACACAATTTTCATGTTTTCAAGTGAGATTTAAGAAGTTTAGTGTTGTTTAGTGTGAAGAAGCTTAAGCAGCCACTTAACTGAGAAGAAATACAAGGAGAAATATGTATTTCTGTGTAAGCATAGCAGGGAAAAAAAAGGGAATAAGTTTCACTAGCCAAAAACAGGATCCTATTAGAATAATGATAAAACAGGGTAGAACCCAGGAACACAGTTTCGGGGGGAAATTTCAGAATTTGCCACAGGTTTTAATGGGGCTTGTGGTTAGTTCTCGTGAAGTCCTCAAGTCAGTTTTGGATCTCGTGCTATAGTGCAATGGTTGCTGGGAGCAATATTTTGGTAGAAATTATGCAGGAGATTGGGCTGGACAGTCAAGTTCTGGCCTTTTTTAGGCTTGAGATATCAAAGTCTGTTTAGTAATTACACAGTAGTGGCACTTGAGAGTCTTATTTCCTCGGTCAACTGAAGCAAGTCTGTCACTTGGACTATAGTTGCATCCATGAATTACAAGGGGAAAAAAGTGGGGGTGAGGTGGAAAAGGTTTTCTTGGTTTTGTTTTGTTTGTCGTACAGTAAAATTGAGAATCTACAGTTTGGTGGCTGCAGTGAATTCAAGCACATTGGTCACTCATACTGATAAAGGTGGACAGAGGTGTGTGCCATGTTTCCACGTTGGTTAGTCAGGTAGTCCAAGGCAGCAAGAATTGCTTCAAGAGCAACATGGTTGATATTTTGCCTGTGTGCCGTTTCATATTGGCGTGTGTGTTTTGGTGGCATCTAACTGGGGCAGTGGGGCAGACGTGGGTGTTGGGTGGGAGAAGTACTTTCCTTGGCAGAGAGTGTGTAAGTACAATAGAGACAGCTCCACCAAAAAAATGCCAGCTGAAAGTGTAGTATTTCTAGGGCACACAGGGATTAAAAAGCTAAGAGCTACTTCCTCCTCAGGTTCTACCTGTGGTTCAGGGAATTAGCTAAAATTCAGTATAAATGCCACCTAAGATAGTGGGAGAAGTGGGAAGGCAGAAAGTGTTCTTAAGCAAACTGGAAATGGAGGACTAGAAGCAATGAACTAGGGTCATCTTCAGACTTGCCCTGAAGAAGGAAAAGTCTTTAACAAAGTTGAAGAATATACAAAATTGCAAGACAGAAGTGTGTCAGGTGAACACTTGGAGACAGGAGATGAATGAAAACACAGATTACTATGTAGCCTGCTAACCTGTGACGTTAGAGTCTGTCAGCTGGAAGTTTGAGTCATTTGTACAATAGTCTCCTTTAAGGCATTAACTTTATGAAAGGAGCAGCAAATGTTGTACTATGTCTTTGCAATTGAAAAAAAGCAGTTGCTGTTTGCCAGGCTGAGTTGGGGCCTGGGAAGGAATTGGAGTGCAGAGTATTTCTGAATCATCCAGGAGAATAAGGGAATGCATCCTTAGATTTGCATTACTAATACTTAAGTTCAAAAGCCGCAAAAGAGGTCTTTCAAAATCTTGAAAAAAGTAGTTTGAGTTCTTATTGTTAAATTAAGGTATGCTCCAGAGTGTCTTTTTGCACTTGCCAGAAAGAAACTCGATAAAATCTTAAAATTGCAGTCTTCATAGAGTCATTATTTCTGGAGGTGGTATGCTAACATAAGATTCATTAATATTTAGTTAAAAGCTCATGCAATTCTAAGAAGAATCCATATTTGGTATATGAGAATTTTTTCTAACCAGCTGCTTGTGGCATAAGGAAAATAAAACAGTTGGAGTAAATCATCTTGTTAAATTTAGAGATAAATGAAATTAACTTTTGAGCTGTGAGAAGACAGGGAGCATTAAGAACTTTCAGGATACAAAGTTAATTTAATTCAACCTAGACTAGTTAATGGTGAACCAACGTAGTTCTCTGGGAGTATGTGCTGCTGTTGTGGTTTAACCCCAGCCAGCAACTAAGCACCACGCAGCTGCTCCCCCAGTGGGATGGGGGAGAAAATCGGGAAAAGAAGTAAAACTCGTGGGTTGAGAGAAGAATGGTTTCATAGAACAGAAAAGAAGAAACTAATAATGGTAATGATAACACTAATAAAATGACAACAGTAATAATAATAGAATTGGAATATACAAATGATGCACAGTGCAATTGCTCACCACCCGCTGATAAACACCCAGTTAGTCCCCAAGCGGCGATTACCCCCCCCCCCCATTTATATACTGGGCA